AAAACGAACAGAAGAATTACGAAAATCAAAGGTTAGAGTCAATAAGGAAAAAGAAAAGTTGCATAGTTCGAAAACATTGACGCTTGTGGTTAAAGCTAAACAGCAACACACAAAAACATTTATTTAAATATATTCCTGAATAATGGATATAAATCTCTTTGTGTGCACCAGATGCATTTTAAAGCCTAGATATCACCTTTTATAAATAGCAGTAACATCACCACTGTGATGCCTGTACCGAAAGCAGAGCTGTGGGAGGGCTCCACCCACTAAAGGCTGCCTGCAGAAAACTACAGGAGGGGCGGAGACAAGAGCAGTCACCCTGCACAAGGAGAGAGAGCAGCAGTGAGCGGTCTTCATTACAGGAAGCTCCTGCCTGCTATATGCTGACAGCACAGAGCCGTCCTGCAGCCGGGAAAGATCCTGACTACATTGAAGTGATCCACTCCACTGCTTGATTGACAGCTGTCTCTGCCTCTCTAGTAGACATGTGCGATTCGTTTCGATCCGAAACGAAATTCGGCCGAAATTTCGGAGATTTGGATGTATCCGAATTCCGAATTACAGCTAAAACGAATGCAAACGAATCCGAATTCCCGAAATTCGGTAGCGGTAGTCCGGTTGAAATTCCGTTGCAGCAAAATGACATGAGGGGGAAAAAATCGATCTTTTTGTGTTTTTTTTGTTTGCAGAAGATGATTTTTTTTTGTTAGAACTGTTAGGGGGGACCCCACGTTGTTTGCCCCATTTTTGGGGGCTGGGGCTCCCCCTAAGATTCCTAAAGGGTCTGGTATGGATTTTGGAAACCCAATGCACTTTTTTAGTGTTTTAACTTGGGGGGGGTTTGCTGGTGCACATGTCTACTCTCTAGAGCCAGAACCAGATGTGCCACACTTTACCGCGCGATATCGCTCTCCAATGCTTCTCAATGGGGCAAAGGGTCCTACTGTGGCGGGTCGTGCGTCGCTACAGCAGGACCCTTTTTGGAGCGGATTTAGCCGCGATTCAAGCTTGCTCAATGCAAGCATTTGCGCGATCACTGCAGGAACAGAGAGAGGGGAGAGGGGGGAATCCCTGCAGGGAACAGTCACCACTCTCTGCAGGGAGAAGCCGTGAGCTGAGTGATCAGCACTTTGTGATCACTCATCTCTCGTATATATAGAGCTGACGTGTGACACCTGCCTGCTCAAACTATTGGGAACGGTACATTTTACTCTCCCAGTAGTTCTCCTTTAAGTTATAAAAGTTCACTGGGTAGTTGCAGGGCACTAGCGCCCCTAGAAGGCGCTGATGGGTATAACAATTTCCGGTACTCAACAGCACCATATAGGGGTACTAGCACCGTGTGTACAGCATCAGCCCGGATAGACCTTTTATGAATGAACTCCTAATGGTTGAGCTCTTTATTTACAGGACAGAGGGATGGTGAAGTGGTAACCCTCCAATTTCTAATTATATTTAGTTTTGCTGCTAGGAGTATGTAAACTATAATTGTTTTGCAGATGACCAAAGGTCATTGACACCAATATGAAGTAAGGCCCTTTCTGTAGTAGGGGGGTCACCTGCCTCTCTACTTCAGAGATAAGGTTGAACACTCTGTTCCAGAGTTAAGTATTTTTTTATGTGACTTTTACATTTGTGCAAGTGTCCATGTTTTTATTATGGTATTAAATGATTTGAAATATAGTCACTAGAGGGAGCTCTCAATGGCTTAGTGTAATTACTCTGACCCCTAAAGTCATTGAGATAAGGTATTGGCTGCACAGGGAGTGCATTGTTTTCAATGAGTCTGCCAACACATAGACAAGGAGCAGTAAGGCACAATCATTATGTAGCACTACATAGCCAGGATCTGGAAAACACGGCTGCCCCGTGTACATCTATAATAACAAATGATACATAGAAACACATTTTAGTTAAAATATAAGTGCCTGTTGAAATGGTTAGTTACAGTAAGCTGATTTATTTGATCATATTTAACTAAAAAATAATTAAAAACATATCCCCTTTTGAAAGGTCAGTGTACTCTGCTCTTATATTTCCGTTTTGGATGGATGTTGGTGGATTATATTTCCCTCCAACATTCTTATACAGTAGAAACACTTAGATTTATTCACTTGTTGACTTCACCTTATTTACTAAGCTTAGTGACCACTCATACAGTCTTAATGCCTTTAGTAAATCGCCCTCATTTACTTGTGTTGGTAAATTTCGCATTGAGCTATTGAGTTCTGTAAACAATGCGCTTTTGACACTAAAGAGGCTGAAGAATCTGTGGAAAAGTTGTGAAAAAAGAGACTAAAGCTCCACCTGCTGCATCAAAAGAAGAATACAAAATGTTACTATGTGATATTTCATATTTACCACACTGGACAAATTGTATTTTTTTGTCCTGAATATAGCAGAAGAACAAAACTGCTATAAATTTCCTTTCCTATCACACATAATGGAAGAGATTCCCCTCCCTGGTGTCTGACCGTAACTGAACTTATTTTTTTTTAAACCAGACTAACTATGGGGTCTATTCACGAAGCAGCCGAAGGATCTAGCCGTAGCTCCGGCTGATCCTTTGGCTAGCTTCGGCCCCAGCAACTTACGGCTATTCAGTATAGCCCGTACAGCTCCCGAAGTTGGCCGAGCAGCTCAGTCGAGCCGAAGGCATATGGTTCGGCTCGACTGAGACAACGTGAAAGCCGAAGCTGGCTGAGCGGCCGGCCGACAGCCTGCTTCTGACAGCTGGGCAGAGCCAGCAGTGATCTTACGGCTGTCTCCGGCCACTTGCAGAGAGATCAGTGTCCCTGGTTACCAGCTAACCAGGGACACTGATCTCCAGACAGCCTAACTCTCCCGGGCGCTCCAGGAGTCTCCCGCCCCCAGCCGCCCAGGAGAGAAACACTGCTTTTTTTTTTTTTATTCTGACATGGAGCCGTTGGCTGTCGTCAGAATAAAAAAATAAAAATGTCACCATAGGAATGCATTGATAGATTCCTATTGGCTATTTCAATTTGCAATAGCCAAATAGCAGCAGAGGGCGGGTACAATAGCTAGTTTGCTATTGCAAATTGAAATAGCCAATAGGAATCTAGCAATGCATTCCTATGGCAAAATTTTTTTTCTTTTTCTTTTTTTTTGACGGCAGCAGAACCCCCGGCCAATAGAAAACAGTTGTGCGGAGCTAGCTGTCATTGCTAGCTCCGCACAATCGTTTTCTATTTATTTTTTTGTACTTTTTTAAACTATTTTTCTGTTCTGCTCAGTCCCACAGAGGGAGCGAGCAGAACAGCCGAGCCGAATGCCGCTCAGCGGCATTCGGCTATTCACTCACTGCTGTTCGGCATCTATAAGAATAGACCGAAAAGCAACGAGTAGCCTGCCCGAGGTTCGGCTCAGCCGATCCAGATGTTGGATCGGCTGAGTTGAACTCCTTCTGCACTTCGGGGTCGGCCGAACATGCAGAGCATGTTCGGCCGACCCGAAGCCACCCGATGTACGGCTGATTTCAGCCGATATATGTGGCTGAAATCAGCCGTACCAGCCTGAAGAGAATAGCCAAACAGCGTTCGGCTCACTTCGCTTCAGGGCGGTCGTTCACTCGGCTGCCTATGGCAGCTTAGTGAATAGACTCCTATGTATCTATGCCAGGACTTGTTTTTTCTGTATTTATATTACTTTATATTAAAACATATTTTTGTGGTTTTTTTTCTTGCAGGTGGACCCCGGTGTCTCAAAAGGTATGATTTAAACTGTATTTGATAAGTCCTTGGTGCATTTGAGATGACCAGCTCAATGCTCTGTCTCCCATACCTGGCAAGTGCCTAAATAGGGATGAGTGAACTGGGCCGGATTAGGTGCGCAGGAGGTCCGGCAAACCCAGTAGGAAATCTGCGAACCCCAAACTTGAAGTCTATAAGAGTTGAAACTAGCTATTATTTTCTGGCCGTTTTCTAGCCTAATAGGCAAGCAATTGCTTAAACAATTGCAAGGGGAGCTGGGCACGTTTGATGCTTGGAGGAGGCCTTAAGCTGCAAGTATGTACAGCAAGTTGTAGTCCTTCAAAAGTGACATTTAAAAAAATAAGGGAAAAACAGTTTGGAGTTCCCCTTCATATTTTAACCAGACCCTTAGGCCCCTATCACACTATGAGATCAGGAGGGGATTCGGGCACGTATCCCCTCCTAATTGGAGCAGTACGGATCGGATGTCACCACCGTGACATGCGTGTCCTCCCTGTTTTTACCTCCATTTTGCAATGGATGAAAAACCTGAAATGACCGGACCCCATGCCAATCTATTAAGAATCTGGTGTAAACAGACATGTGTCCATTCACAGCAGATTACCCCCGATCCGGCACGATCAGGTCCAGCGAAACGGAACACTGTTCCGTCTGTTTTTCCAGAACTGTCCAGTGCGTTGTCAACCAGATGTATATGGACATTTAGCTCCTCCTGTCCATAGACTTACATTGGGCATCTGATCAGAAAACTGACAGGTGGACCTGACCAGAAAGCCCATCTGAAAAAGGGCCTTATCCAGACATATAACCTGGGTGGCCATAAAAGGGAGGCCAGTGAACATGCGCAACCCCCTTCTTCTTTTACCATACCAGGCCACATGCCTTTCATAATTGGGGGATACCGTTCAAAGGAAGGGTAGGGCAGTAGAGCCTTCCCCCTTAAAAGGCAACTTGTCCCTATGTTGAGGGACAAAAAGTGTATGTGGGGAAATATAGGAATATGGGAGCCCCCTTTGCAGTAGGCAGCCCCCTTTGCAGTAGGCAGCCCCCCAGATATATCCCCCCCCCCTGAGAGTAATGAGTAGAGGGGTACATTACATCACAAATAGAAGGACATGCAGCCAGAGCCTGAAAAAGGCATGCAGGCCCCCAGGTAAATGTCCCCCATTGATTGATGACCTATACACCGGTTCAGGTGTTAGTTACTTTTTTATTAAGTGTGTACATCATGACTCCACCATCTTGTTTCTTGCAGTTCCAAGGAAGAACAACAGGCAAATGATGAACTCCAAAAAACCAGCAGCGCATCTAATTGGTGAGTTGTCTTTTTTTTCTTTATCATAGACATCAGCTTTAAAGCCCAATTGAATGCTTTTAATAAATATGCCCCTTTTTTTTATCAGCTGCAGCAAGGGTTATAAAATCCTGTTCTGCTGGCACTAGGAGAGCTGGACTGCAACTCTCCCACACAAGCAATGTCCTGGCTCTCCTACCGTCAGACTGAACACTGCTCTTATCTGCAGCACTCTCACTCCCTGAGCGGCTCTGTTGATTGGAGCAGTAGATGGAGAAGTGTGTGACTAAAGGATTACCGGGCCACTGCTTTGACGGAGAAAGCTGCAGTTTGATTTGTAGAAGTACTCATGGAACATTAAACAGCCATATACACATGTAGATTGATGAATGCATAGCTCCATGTTTGACTTCTGTCCGCTTTAGGGTTGCCACCTGTCCAGGATTCACCCGGACAGTCCGGGTTTTGAATGCTGTGTTCGGGTTTCATGGCAGCAGAAACCCAGACACAAGATGTCAGACAGACAGGAGCAACCAAAATTAAGATAGGGGCTACAAGAGTGTTCGGGTTTTCGCTTGAAGAAAAGGTGGCAACCCTAGTCCGCTTTCCAGTTGTCCAGCCACCAGCACTGGAAAATCTCAGCCATTTACCGGCAACACCATGCAACTCATGGCATCACTCTGCCTCCCCCCTTATTCTGTCTACTTTTTTGACAGCAAGGAAGCATTTCCTAGTCAGGCAATAAGTACATGTAGATAGCATGTGGGCTAGGGGCTCAACTACACCATAAGTTGCATGGTGTCACTGTTGCAATGGTTAGATTGCTGGACAACTGGAGCGCAGGCAGATCTTAAACACGGTGCTATGCATTTATCGAACTACGCATGCTATATATGGCCTTTTAATGTTCAAAGAGTGAACTTCCACTTCAAAGCAAAATTCTATTTTAAAGCCCAATTGAATGCTCGCTGTTTATTGCTGAAATGCAGTCTGGCTGCATATACATTAATACATATGGGGCTTGTTATATGGCTCTTTAATATCCATTGAGTAATTCTAGAGTGAACTTCCAGGTTACGGTATTTTATACCAATGTTATTAACCTACCGTGCCATACCAGTAACCTTTCTTGCCATACCAGTAATTTACTTTGCCATACCACTAACGCTCCGCCAGTATATTATTTGAACTTTATCCCTAGCCAGGTCTTTTTTTTTTTTAAGTTTTGGATCAGCATGGCAGCCAGACAGTTGACATTTTAGAGGGAGATAAAAGCAATGACAACATTTGTGTTAACCTCAGTGTGTTTCTGTCAGTACTGTGACAGATTGGCATTGCAGCTGATCTGTTACTTGTAGTTCTACTAGCCTGTGTGTCACAAATTTGCTGCTAGCTGTGCTGTTGCTTGTAGTTCTATTACATGTGCTCTTTTCCTACCTTGCTCTTACACTAGTCTGGAAGCTTTAGGCATCACCCAATCTCACCTGCTGATTCTTTTGCAGCTTCTTAGTCAATGTATGTGGTCAGCTTGTGGCCAATCCAGTGGTTTTTCCCTCTTGCTCACTCTATTTAAACTCAGTGCAGCTCAGAGCTTCCTGCCTGAGCAATGCTTCTACTAGGTAGTTGCTGAGCCCCCGTTTGCTGTTGAAGTTGCTGTTCATGCCGACCTTAGCCTTGTCCCTGGAAATTCTTGTCCACAGCCTGCCCTGACTTTCGGCTTGTCTCTTGGTATCCATGTCTGCAACCTGCCCTGATCTTTTGCTTGTCTTTTGGTATCCATGTCCACATCCTGCCCTGACCTTCGGCTTGTCACCTAATATCTATGCCTGCAGCCTGCCCTGACTTTCAGCTTGTCTCCTTATACCATGTCCACATCCTGCCCTGACCTTCGGCTTGTCTCCTAATATCTATGTCCGCAGCCTGCCCTGACTTTCAGCTTGCCTCCTTGTACCCGGGTTTGCAGCCTGCCCTGACCTCTGGCCACATTGACCATTGTCCGCTGTTAGCAGAGTAGGGTGAACCTAGGGATTGAAACCTGAGGCCAGCACACAGCATAGTCCATTTTCACCATCAGGAGCTCTGGTGAATACCAGCTGGCCTAGAGACTCCACACCCTGGGGAATCCCATGCTACCTACTCTGCATTGTGGTATTCCGCTTTGTCCAGACTTTCAGTCATCCTCTTCCAAGCCTGCCTCTCAGTCAGCATTCACTACCTGCACCTTTTCTAGCATCATAGGTGTCCCACCAGTGTATCTGGGGTCCACATCCTAGAGTCCAATCCTGATAGTTTCATTTTTTTATTGTAACTGTCATAAACATGATGATGACGATTAGAGATGAGCTCCTCAGAACCTGGAAGGTGCTCCTGCTGAAAAATTAGCTGTGTGGGGGGGACTTTTATATCATATAAATTACATCAGCACAAGCATCCTGTCCCTTTGTTTACATGCAGCTGCCATGTTTAGAATGCCCGGCCTGAAGCTGACTGGGTTGGAGTGCCCATGGCACTTCCTTGTTTGGAGGAACATCCCAATGATGATCTAAAGTGTCACATACTGATATTAATTTCACACCACAATTACCAAATGTTCGTCTGTTTTTCTCCACAGGTCATGGGCCGGCACAGAAGGAAACTATGAGATGGCGCTCTGATACGGAGGTGGCCTTCATTCGCAATGTTACACATTCTCCTATCACCACCGTGGTGACCAAACGCAAGGGCCTCTACTACGTCTATTTTCAGGTTGGCTTCACTGGCGCGGGCACTAATGTAAGACTGCTCATTGAGGTCATCACCCTGCATGAATCCACCAATGTAAACTCCACCCTGCTGACCGGGTCCGAGAGCATAACCTCACCCCCCCCATACCTCGATAATTGGTCAGCCAGCCTGAGCCAAGGTGGACTGGCCAACCTGAAAGTTGGACAAAAACTGTACGTCCACGTAAGCCATCCGCACCTTGTAGACTACTCTGAAGGGAAAACGTTCTTTGGACTTGTCATGGTGTCCTGAGTCCAGGGCCAGTGGACATGGGCTAAGTCTTATTTATAAGTGATATTGGTTTAAAAGGCGAATTCCAGTTTCACCAAATAAAATCTACATAACATATATCATTTTTGACAGTTATTTTTGTCAAATTTTGTGGTGTAATTTATTAAACACGACCGTTCCTATTTAATCTGTATCCAGCTATGCTTTTTCAAATGTGCAGATTTTGCTTCCTTGCCAACACTGGTATCATTGTGTACACTGTGTAAGAAACCCCCCGGAAACGGCATTGACTACCCATGTGGTCAGCTTACTGCTATTTCTAGCAGTTTTGCCCTTATTATAACACTGAGACTGATGTGATTATAACAGGTGGACCCTCCAACTTAACACACTCACTTCCATGGGTTGAAAGATGTTATTGGAATGGCAATCTCATATATAGAGAACAGAAGCAGGTAAGAATCCCTCAATGGAGGAGGTTTTCCTCAACAAAAGTGGAGTTTTGATTTAACCCTTTCACTGCCACTAGTGGAAGAAGATGAAACTACCTGATTGTTCCTACAAGGCTTAATGGGCACCCCTACACCACTGCCCCTTGATCACAGGCTCTTCTGGGTCTTCTGTTGGCCTGGGATCTCTATAGGTAAGGTGGAGATGGTAAGAGACTTGTGAAGTCGCATTTACTGATCTCTTCTGCCTTGACTGAACTTGGAAATACTCATCCCAGAGCAGTACGGGGTTTGCAGATTCCTGGTTCCCAAGGAGAGGTGGAAGCAAGGCGCCGAATACCCATCACCAACTGGGAAGAGGTTCTCAGGGGTTCTTAGTATAGCCAAATGGCCTGTGTTGGGCAGCTCTCGACAGAAACAGGGGCCCCTCTCAAGAACAGGGGTTACCGGAAATGAGAAGGCTATGTGTATTTAAGCCAGGATGAGCGCTAAACAAAGACCCTAATGACTAAAAGAAAAAACAAATGTGAACCAGCACCTTTTGGGAGTTCTACAATCCCTCTTCATCAGGGCTACAAAAATGTTAGAAGAAAAATATAAAAGTTGAAAATTTAGAGAAAACATTTGTCAAGAAGCCAGAACCAGAGATGCTGCATGAATGTCTGCATATGCGCCTAGTTTGATCTATAGAATCATGCCTGGCCGTGCGCCTCTGCACAGATGTGTGCGAGCTCCTCGACACAGACTGGGCTAGAGAGGGGTAGCACTAGGAGCCAGTCAGGTTTGCTGGTTGTACATGAGCTGACAAGTAACATGACAGTCAAGCTAAGGGTGATCAGGCAACAGTACAAGTAGATATGAGGCAGGAGCAGCCTTTAGTGCATCATTTGGTTCCTTTCTCCCAGAAACATTTTGGGAATCAGAAGTTCCAAAAATAAAAATCAGGGCTGGGTTTTTCCTCAGGGCATCCAAATATGACATTTCATCTGAATCTAATGTCATCCACATTTCAGGAACAACTTTAATCATAGGGACCACACTACATGGTAAGAGTGCTGATTACTGACTACCTTGTGGAGAGGAAGGAGGCCAGGCAGAAGAGTTCAAGTCAATATCATCATCCTAATTTAAAGGGCAATGCATAAGGCGCAGAAGCTGGCAGCAGCAATTATTTCATTTAGTAAAATTCATATTTATTTACATTAATTATTAATGCATACATTATTTTTCAAAATAATGCATTCTTATTTATTTGCATTGATCATGTTTTTTTATTTTGAAGTTTTATATTTGTAAGATATATTATTTGTTTATTTCATACAGTATACATTATTTGTTGCACAAATAGCAATTAGTACATAGCAAAGGAATCACAGAGCACTATGAGCGATCTAAAGAGCTGGTTTTGTCTGATAAAAATTTCACAATGAGATGTTCTGTACAGGGGGAGTCCCCTCTAATTGTGAGCTTCGCCTAATGGCTGGATAGAAGACTGCATTGAACTAAAATGTTTACCTTACACAAATAGCTGAAATAAATACAAAGGCTGCCTCCTTTTTTCTGAGAATGCCAGTTGCCTGGCTCTCCTGCTGGCTGACTCTTTGGCTTCAATAAATCAAAAATGACTGACCTGGAACAAGTATGCAGGTTCTGCCTTCATTGGCTACATGCTTGTTCTTGGTTAGTGGCCCAAAAAGCATTGCAGCCAGTGTAACAGTGTAGCCAGTGTAGGGTACTTAACATTTTTAGTAGGAGGTCAACAATGGCACCTCAGCACCTTTAACCTGGACTCTGACAAACGTGGCTCAACAAGACTCAAAGTCTATGCAAAAACCCTACCAATAAAAGTCTCTTATTTGCTCTCTTTTAGTCTGTTACATATACCATTGAAAGCTTTTTGTTATATCTGTTCAATAAATGTCAAAAAACAAACAAAACCTGTTCATCCTGCTAGAAATCCAGTACTACCCCATGCACTCTGCGGTCTTATCTCATGCAGTGTTGTCAGCCCTGCACAAGTCACCTCTGTGGATTACAGAACCCCACTCCCCATGTTATGGGGACGAGGAGAGGGAGAGGCGTTCTGTAGTCCTAACATGCTTCCTATCTACTCCCAAAGATAAAAGTATTATACACTCACTGGCCGCTTTATTAGGTACACCTCTTCAACTGCTCGTTAACACAAATATCTAATCAGCCAATCACAAGGCAGTAGCTCAGTACATTTAGGCCTGTAGACATGGTCAAGATGGTCTGCTGAAGTTCAAACCGAGCATCAGAATGGGGAAGAAAGGGGATTTAAGTGACTTTGAACGTGGCGTGGTTGTTGGTGCCAGGCGGCTGGTCTGAGTATTTCAGAAACTGCTGATTTGCTGGGATTTTCACACACAACCATCTCTCGTGTTCACAGAGAATGGTCTGAAAAGAGAAAATATCCAGTGAGCGGCAGCTCTCTGGCCAAGAATATCTTGTTGAGGTCAGAGGAGAATGTGCAGACTGGTTCAAGCTGATAGAAAGGCAACAGTAACTCAAATAACCACTCGTTACATCCGAGGTATGCAGAATCCCATCTCTGAACACACAGCACATTGAATCTACAGCCACAGAAGACCACACCGGGTGCCACTTCTGTCAGCTAAGAACAGGAAACCGAGGCTACAATTCGCACTGGCTCACCAAAATTGGACAATAGAAGCTTAGAAAAACGTTGCCTGGTCTGATGAGTCTCAATTTCTATTGTGACATTCGGATGGTTGGGTCAGAATTTGATGTAAACAACATGAAAGCATGGATCCATCCTGCCTTGTGTCAACACACCAGGTTGGTGGAGCTTCGCATCATGGATGTGCAGCCGACAAATCTGCAGCAACTGTGTGATGCTTTCATGTCACTATGGACCAAACTCTCTAAGGAATGTTTCCATCAACTTGCCACAAAGAATTAAAGCAGTTCTGAAGACAAAAGGGGGTCCAACCCAGTACTAGCAAGGTACCTAATAAAGTGGCCAGTGAGTGTATATCACAGCTTGCCCGTCCTTAGATGTAGTGGCTGCATTCATTTTCTTTTTTAGTTTTTTTTTTCTTTTATTTTCACCTGTTGATCCTGCCAGCAACACACTTCCTGTCCTAAGATGACAACTCTACTCCTCTATAATTGCAGATGAGCGAGCGTTGTCACCACAGGACAAGAAGTGTGTACCTGGCAGTATCAACAGGAAAATAAAACTAAAAAAAAAAATGAAAAAGAAAACTAATGCAGCCCTCACATCAAAGGACTGGTAAGCTGCGATGTATAACTATTTTATTAAGGGCTTAGATACACTTCACGTTACTTAATGAGTGAACTGCGGAATGTCCAATCCCTCCTATCTTGGTGACAGGACAGACTGCGATCTCAGAGCCAAAAGAAAAAAAAAAACGGCGTATCTAGATAAGCTGGATGTAGTCTAATGTTTCCAGCCGCACGCCGCATGTAGGAAAAGAACACAACGCATCTAAAGAAGATTATTTCATATCTGACCCACTTAACTGGAAGCCATAGTGTGGACTGATCACTAGCAATGAGGTATCACAGTGTTACCACATCCGTCCCTATAGGTTTAAAGTAGGTCAGCTAGCTATATGAAAAACAGCAAAGCGAGACGCAGGCAGCAAAAAGAGTGTATAATTCTAAGAATTACAAATGTCAGCCACTTTATTCTCTGTATATGTACAGCACTTCCTACTACCATTCGCTAAATTATAGCCGGCTGCTAAGTCCCTAAAAGCAAAAAGTGGCTTGATAAATATTGTCGGCATTATAGTATATTGTGTACGCTCGCTGTTTTAAAAAGCACATAAATATATTTCAACGCGTTTAATCAATGCACATTTTTCGGCCCTACGCAGTTTGGTCACATTCGTTAACAATACGGACACATATGGGAAACCTGAATGAAGCATTACCTACCTCCATCTGATTGATCTCTGATGGTGCTGGCTCTCTATAATCTCTACTGCCGGGGCTTTGGATATCCTAGTGTGCTCTACTTTTCCTTTACCTTCTACTTTCTTTCCTAGATTGTTTCTTCTCCTTTTCAAGCTTTTATTTGTCCTATGTCTTTCTTCTCTGACTATTGTTTGGGTTACTTTGTTGTCCTGGCAATGGATCATGTTGGAGCTGATAAAATTGAGATCTATGATATAGCTTTGATATAAAGGTATTTCCTGCCTACTGGAAGGACAACACATGTGGCTGCTGCGGTACTTCAGCCGGTACTCATAGTACAGCTTCTGTCTGGTCCCGCTGCGCACACGCACGCACATGTTCTCCGTTATGGTTCCAGTAGTACAAATAGAAATGCTCATGTGCAAAAAAAAAACACATGTGCACACGCAACACCATGCACACATTGTAGCATGTGCAGGCCTGTTCCTGGCACCAGGCGGCTATTTAAGGATGTCTTCTGCACACTGCTTAGAGATTTTCAGCTGTACTCTGCGTTTCTTGATTCAGTTCCTGATATCTGTTCCAGCTGGCTTGATTCCTGACTCTGTTGCTTGCATTCTTCCGTCTTCTGAGTTGGTGCCACTCTGCTCGCAAGTGTATGATCCGGCCTGCTCTTGACATCACTTTGCCTCCTGGTTTTGTACTACGCTGCCCGCACGTTACGAACCTGACCTGTTCCTGACTTTGCTTCTACTCCTCACACCAGTGCTGCCTGATCGGCT